GGGTCTCGATAGCGTAGTCACCTCCTCGTGATGAGACTGGTAACTGATATTGATTTACGTAGATTACTCTTTGAAAAATTTTCAAAGATTTTCCAAAAATAAATTTTCCAAATATAAATTTTTAAAAATCGATACCAAGCTAAGAAATATCGTAGTATCTGCAATCCAATCTAGAAAATTGTGCCAATTTTCCTTTCGATATTTTGGTCGGCTAGACTGGACTGCAGATACCACTTTATTAAACCCCCATCGGGGGCATCGTGGGATCATCGCTGAATCATTGTGGGATCGTCGTGGGATCATCGTTAGATCATCGTGGGATCATCATGAGATGCGTGTGTCTTAGTTTTAAGTTAAGTTAAAATTATAAGATATATACATAGATTTAGTTTAAGTAATTGCGAGCGCATTTCGTACAAAAACTATACTCTCTAACATCGAGTGAAATATAAAATTCTTTATATTTCTTAATTTATCGATTTTATATAGCTAGTTAGTATTAATTCTTTTTTCTTTTTATTAATTATTATCCAAATCTAATTCGAGTCACTGTTCATCAATCGTCACGCAACGATTACAAGAATTCATCGGGCTGGTGTTCTATTTCCGATGGCCAGTCGAAGGTCTGCGCTCTTATCGATTGATACCTTTGAATACCAATTGATCTGAGATAGCTTGCTTGTACGTCGAATGCGATCGTCTATAAATCGGTCTCGGTGGTTCTAGGATGACTTCCAGTTCCTTCCTGCATGTCGTTGGGATGACTTCTTGGTAAGACGACCGATTCCGGTAGTCTTGTAACGACTTCTAGCTCCTTCCTGTGATCATCGTGGACATCGTGCATTCGACTATAATGCCAGTGTCGTAACCCTCTGCTGGTCAACGCGAATATCATCCATTTGATAAGTCAAATAAGTCGATTGATATAAGCCGTGATGAAAGCGGTGGTGACTCGAATTGGTTTTTTTATGGCTTTCTCTCATATTTATTCCCCTTAATATTTAAATATGATTTTAATTTCATTTAACTTTTTTCATGCGAA